ATAACAGGAAACATGTCCGCCACATCCATTATTTCTACGAGTTCAACATACTATGAAATAGCCTTGAAACAAAGAACAGTCCTCATGGCAACAGCTACTTTTTTTTTTCTTTCAATCCACTCAAGTGCCGTTAACCGAAACGGTCTAATGATGGTTCCTGTCAACTAATGGCATGAGTGGATATCATCTTAACAGCCTTGCAGATCAAGTACGAGATCAAATTCTGTCTGCTCTAATATTAGAAAGGGCAGGACAACATATGGATGGAACAGCCTGGGATGCACCGAGGAACCAGGTCCAGATTGACCCAAAAGTCTGTGTTCATGTTCTACTAAATCAACAAGAAGAACAAGACCATTTGGTCAAGAATGACCCTGGTTCTGACCCAGTCTTGGCATCACTGTGACCAGAACCTTTTTAGCATTTTTGCTTATATATACATATACATACCAAAAATAACGAAATAATGTGGTACACTTAGTATTCATTATTCTAAATTTAGTAATAATAATAATATAATAATAAATAATACTTGAGATTTCAATCGACAAAGCACAAGAACAATAATTACCTGATGATGAAGATTCCTCTACAAGTGCGCCTCTAGAGCTCATCGTGTGTACTGTAATTGGTCTGAAAGCCATCTATATTTAGTGTCTTTAAGTCTTTGTTCTTTTTTGCCACATTGACAGGCAGAACAATGAAATCTTCCACTAAATGGAAGACAGACTCACAGATGTTGAAGGAGGTCTTCACGTGTGTCTTTTTTCAAGTCCTGTGAGTATATCAGGGTGGTGTTCAACTAAACAGGTTGTGGGTTTCACACTGACTAAGTGAAAATGTGTGCTGTGGTTGGAGTGAGGGTTTGTCAAAACTCTGAGTGAGTGTGGATAGTGGGTTAGCTGTCTTAGCATTTGGCCCATCGTGGTGTAGCACTCGGGACAGAAAACTGTCTGTCATTTTATTGGTTTATTGTTGTGCGCATTTTCACATATGCAGTAACAAAACCCGATTATCGCAGGAACAATGCCGTACTGTGTTGACGGCAGAGTAGAAGAAGAAAGGATTGAATGATAGGAGTGTTTCACGACCACAGTTTGTATAATTACAGCGTCGCGTTCAGTCGTCAGCACGTAGTCACTAACAACCAAAGTGACAACCAGTTCCTGTGGTCTACACAGACCTGCTGGTCTATTCATTTCATCCTAGTAAAACGTGGGCCGATGAGGTGTCTCTGGTGGTCAACGTCACACACCAGTCACTACAAAGGACGAGTCATCAGGATGTCAGGCGAAACATGTGCCTCGTAGTTTTGAGTTATTTTCTATACCAGACTCAGTTAGTGGTTCTCAACTGGTCCAGTTTCAGGACTCTAGGACCATCAATAGCGATGACGAGCCGCGACCCAAATCAAGGAGAATTTTCAACTTCTCAGATCCTTGAGTGAAAAGATGAAGCAGTTTGAACGTCGGATAAGATATCACAGTATACTTCGAACACGATGAAGTAAAAATAGGTCTTGAAGATACTGAAGTACTGAGGTTTATGTCATCTCATGTACAGTGGTATTATCGCCACCTACTGTTAAGGATGGGGAATAAGCAAGACTCACACTGATTTTTTTTCTCATCATTTTTTTTTTTTTTTTTGCCTTAGCAAAGGCCCATGACCCCGGAAAAACTTGTCTACTTGTGACCTACTATTGGGTCGCGACCCACCAATTGAGAGTCACTGGTCTAAAATACGTGTCTATTGTACACTGAGTATTCTCCATATCATCATTATTATGTGACAAAAATTTACTGACCAATGTCCTCTTACAGTATTTATATACTGCGTACTGTATGTGTAGTATAAATATTTGCTCACTAGACTGCGCTATAATATAATATAATCACCAGAAGATCGTGGGTTGCTATGCAGTTTTTAGGTCTTATTTTTAAACCCAAGAAGTTTTTAGTGCCACAGTCCAGTGAAACATCCCAATGTGTCTAAACTGTATTTTTGGAATTCAAGACCAGAGACCTGGATCCGACCGGAGCTGTGCATATGTCACAGCTGTTGTTGAGGCCCACCAGACGTATGGGGAAGACAGAGGCTGTACGGCCGTACGAACACCAACTCCCATTATATCCTGTTTCTATGCACAGCTCGAGGCATAGCCATGAATGAGGCTCATTGAACTAAAAATGGACCGATGTTACTGAGCTCAGGATACGCAGAAGAAAAGGAGAAAATTCAAAGAAAAACAACAACAAAAAAAGAGTTAGTACTTTTGTAAACATGCCATAAAAGTTAAATGTTTCAGTTTGTTGATGCATCTAAACCAGGCCTGGGCAAACTAAGGCCCCGGGGGGCCTTTTTAATCTGACCCGCCAAACTTTTCCAAATTATATAATTTATGTTATCATTAAACTTCTGTCTTTTCCCTGCAATACCCACATTTTCCCAATAGATGGCGTAGAAAATCATAAAGCATTTTAGCCTTTACACATGACTTTTACATGCCATTCATCTTAATTTACAGAGATGCTTCTAGAAAAAGTATCCTAAGCCTTTACACATGACTTTTACATGCCATTAATCTTAATTTACAGAGATGCTTGTAGAAAAAGTATCCTAAGCATGACGTGTTTGTGTATTTCTTTTTATTTTCGAAATTCATCAATTCACCCCTGATCTATTTGGTAGACAAAATTAAAAAAAAAAAATCGACCATCAGTGTTTAGTCCTACCATCTTAAATATATATTTTTCAAACTTAACCTGATACAAACAAATGCATAATTTGCATAATCCAAAATTTCAGAATGCGATATTGCTTATCGTTTATCAAATCTTTTTTAAAAAAAGTTTTAATGTAAATTATTGTAAATGATTTCCTCCTTGTTTATTCAAAACCACACATGAACGTGGCTGTCATGGACATTCAGCAGCAGTTTCCGTTCTTGTCAGATATTCACAAATATTTCCTCGACTCTTGACACATGAATATACTGTACAGTAATTATAAATGTATGAAATGTAAATACATTAATGATATGCAGTAAATTAGCGCCCACCTACATTTAAACAGCGAATGCTAACGTTTTGGTGATATTTCTATAATGAACAGCCTTTTTCTAATAAAATAAGATTAATGTGTGAAGGAATATCTGCCCTTTCTCCCTGGGTAATGGGAGTTGTACTGAATGATTTAATTTAGTGCATGGAGTTTTATAGTGTATTGAATGGGATGTAAGTGTTGAACCTACAGAGAAACCTGGTGTCTGCTAGGATAATGACGCTACACTTCACATCTGAACTGTGTCCCTTTCTACATGAGCAGCTGTGAGTGAAGTGACCCTGAGTCATAGTAATGTCATGAGGTAAGCCTGTGAGTCATTTAGTAACCCACCCAAACCCCCCGCCTCCCAAAAAGATCAATGCAGTTCTGGCGAAGGTCCATGTTTGACCAGTTTGATCTCACTTTAAACATGGACCTCAGTTCACATATACTCTATGTCAGAGATTCTCAACCACTGTGCCGTGGGCCGTGAGAGGTCGTAAGGTTGTGCCGTTGAAAATTATCCAATTTCGCTCAATCTGAATCTGAAAAATATCATTTATTTATTGAAAAATATTTTTTCTGTTTTCGTCAATGAGCAAGTGACAGGCAGAACAGTTAAATAAAATCCCTCTAGGTGGCGGCAGATGGCTATGAAAACAAACAAAAAGGAGAATCAGAGCTGTTGAAGAAGATCTTTGTGAGTGACTTTCTTCAATTCCTGTGGCTATTTCAGCATTGTTTTCAACTAAACTGGCCGAGATTTTAGTGAATTGAGAGTCATTTTTGTTTGTACGGTGCACCGCAGGGTTAGCTCCACAGACACTACAGGCCATGTCCTGGATGATAACGCTGGAACAAACACAAAAATGTTAATGAGTAATATCTCTGGGCCGACTCTCTTTGTCATTTTCCAGCCCTGATATCAGTGAGTGCTCAGGGGCCAGGCCCCCTCATGCAGCTGGACAGGGTGGGAGGCAGGGAGAGAGGAAGGGTGAGGTTCCGTGGAGCCCCTGGACACTGACAGCAACATCAACCACACCTGCCTCGGACACATTCGGATTTTTTTTTCCGTTTTAATTGAAGCCACGACGGTGGAACGCGTCCGCGCTTCCTATCAAATGGCCGGAGCCAAGAGCGTTACCTAAAAGGCAGATGACTTCATGTGTATCCAATGGAATTCATTTATAGAATCATTAGTAACCTATTAATATTCAGACCCACTGATGTCATGGTGTTGCAGCCTCTGTATGTCCACCGTGCCAAGTGATCTCTGGTGTCGGCATGTGCAACAGTCAGAGACCGGGCGCTGCGTACAGTAGGTGTTTGAGTGGGGGTCGGGGGAGGGGGGGGGGCTGTAGGAGAGGGCACAGACAGAGGTGTGTGTGTGTGTGTGCGTGCGTGTTTCTATACATGAAGTGACGTACGAGGCTAACATGTTACTGTCCAGTGTCTCCCTGCACCATCGCCCCTCTTGTCCGTGGAGATGATGTGGGGGCTTCTCTTCCCACATGCTGCATGAAAACACGGTCCTTCAGAAGAAAAGGTCTCATTCATGAAGAAACATTCGGCGTTATTCACAAAAAAAAAAAGGTTCGATTCATGACACATTCCTTTACGAATTCACTGTCACACTGCCAAAGCCGTACGATGGCTGACGTTCCCGACACGTACAGTAGCCACTTGTCTGCTTTCGGATGCAGAAATAAATAAGACAGAATAAATCCGCATCATTTACATATATATAAAAGTGCTCTGACTGAACGACGGGCCTCAGAGGAGAGTCGTTTCAGTGATGGATGTCCAGCACCTGAGCAGGAACCACGGCTTTATGCTTTTATTTTCCACGTTTAAGTTCTGACAGCCGTCCTTGAGGAAATGGAAAAGTTCATCGTTGCCTTGTTTCTAACACGAGGAGTCGAAGGAAAAAAAGTTCGGACCAAACTGTGACTTACCTGCCGTCGAGGTGTGCCCAGGTTCAGGTGCTCAGCAGTCACACCGAGTAATCCAACAAAAAAATAAAACCGTTTTTTAGATGAAGTGTCCACCGGTATCCTCAGGTCTGTGTCATCCACCCTGACACTGGCGTCTGCTACTGAGTGGTGGAGCTGAACACCATCTCAATTTCCTCTCTCTCTCTCTCTCTCTCCCTCACTCTCTCCCTCTCTCTTTCTTCTGTCAGCTCCTCAGGTCAGGGAGGGAATGAAAAAGAACACTAATACCAGTAGGCTCTGTAACCTCCCTCCCTCCCTGGCTTGCTCCCTCCCTCCCTTCCTCCTTCTCTCCTCCCTCCCTCCCTTCCTCCCTCCCTCTCTCTCCCTTCCATTCCAACAGCTTGTCCACTCTCAAACACACCTCTGATTCTGTTTCCCCCCTCGATCCTTTCCAGAAGTCAGTTGAAGAGTGTATGTGAATGAAAGGGGGCGGAAGGAGCAGGGGGGGGCAGTGGAGGGTTGGTTGGTATCTCTTTATTCAACTGTATTCTCCATTCACCCCCACCCTCCTGTTCCCCCTCCCAACCCTTTTTGACTATAGTCACATAGACTAAAAGTATAGCTCTATATTTAACTCGTCCGCTCTTTGCCAACGCGCCGCTCTTAGCAGCTGAGACTAGCTGAATGCTACGGCTGGCCTCGCACCAGAGCTAACGCTATCCCGTTGACCCCTGGTGACAGCTGAAGCCAACCATGCTGGGAAAGTCCAGTGGCAGCAGCAGCAGCAGCCACGGCTCCGAGGGACCAGTACTGCTGACTTAGGCGCCAATATAGCTGGGCAGTGGTGGTCTGGTGGTTAAGGAAGTTTAGTGCTGCCATCTAGTGATTTTTACTTTCATGTACAGCCATTTTTCCCCAAAACTACTTTTAGGGAACACATCATTTGGCGAAACCCAGGCATCGGATTTTTATTAGCGGAGGAAAAACCAAAAACGATTTGACATATATGACATAATTATGCTAATATTGGGCCGATATTATCGGACTACCGATATAACCGGGTAATTTGTTTTATGTGTGGCTTAATGAGAGTAACAAAACGTATTGATGCGTTTATCGACAAATGAAAACGAGATGAAAAACATCAGTGCAGAGTTAGTCATGTGAACAGGAGGTACAAAGGTACAAAGAAGGATGTGAGCCAATCAGAGGCTCATGCGCTCTTCAGAAGACGGTATGTGTTAACG